AAAATTGACCCAAGTCAATATGCTGAATTAATATTTGACAGACGTGGCAAGAGCATACAATAGAGTCAAGACAGTCTCTTCGGTAAATAGTATTGAGAAAGTTGGACAGCTACTTGCAAAAAAAATGAAGCTAGAACACCAACTTACACCATATACAAGAATAAACTGAAAATGGATAAAAGACTTAAATGGAGCTTGTGAATCCATAAAAATTCTAGAAGAAAATCTAGGCAATAAAATCTCAGACATCACAAGCAGCAGAATTTTTACCGATATAACACACACCTAAGGCAAGAAAAACAAAGGAAAAAACACGAGACTACATCAAACTAAAAAGCTTCTGCACAGCAAAAGATACAATCATCAAAACGGAAAGAGATTCCTCTATATGGGAGACCATAATTGCCAAAGATGCATCAGATAAGGGGCTAATTTCCAAAATATATAGACTGCTCATACAACTCAACAAAAGGAAGACAAAGAACCCAATAAAAAAATGAGCAGAGGACCTAAATAGACACTTCTCCAAAAAGGACATACAAATGGCCAAGAGACATATGAAAAAATACTCAGTGTCACTCATCATCAGAGATGCAAATTAAAACAACTATGAGGTATCACCTCACACCTGTCAGAATGGCTGCCATCAGCAAATCATCAAACAAGTGTCCGCGAGTGCGTGGAGAAAAGAGGACACTAGTACACTGCTGATGGGAATGCATACTGGTGCAGCCACTAAGGAAAACAATATGGTGTTACCTCAGAAAGTTAAAAATTGAACTGCTATTTGACCCAGTGATCCCATTTCTGGGAATATACCCTAAGGTGTTATTTTTCTTTTGTCTCCTTTCCATATTTTTGCTTACTTTTGGTTTTCCTGTAGTTTGAGCATTATATGCCAAGGTTTCAATTTGGGTCATTTATTTTTATTTTTTTGGTTTTATTCTGAGCTTGCTTGGTCTTTGATATCTCTTTAATTTTCAAAAATTCTTAGTCATGCACTGGCCTGTGTGGCTCAGCGGTTAGAGCATCAGCTCGCAAACTGGAGAGTCCGGGGTTTGGTTCCCGCTAAGGGCACGTACCTTGGTTGTAGTTTGTTCCCTGCCCCATTTGGGGTCGTGTGGGTAGCAGCCACTTGATGTGTCCCTCTCACGTTGATGTTTCTCTCTGTTTCTTCCTCTCTCCCTCCCACTCTGTCTGAAAATAAATACAAAAAAATGGCCTCGGATTATTGTTCATGAACTGTTATCTTTTTTTATTACTTTCTTTTTCGTCTAAATTTTTAGTATGTGTGTATTACATATTTTGTAGTTTCATAGTCTGTTTTCATTCTTTTTTCTTTTTTCTTTTCAGATTTAGAAGTGTCTTTGGAATAGCCTCAATAGATACTTGTTCCTCAGCTGTCTATACCTATTCTACTAACAAGCTTATCAGAAGAATTCATTTCTGTTAGTGTTTTTACCTCTGGCATTTACAGGGGGGTCTTTTTAAAAATTTCTATTATGCCCTGGCCAGTTTGGCTCAGCGGTTGGAGTGTCGGCGTGCGGACCAGAGAGTCCGGGGTTTAGTTCCCACTAGGCCCTAATGGCTAGGGGCATGTACCAAAAAAATAAATAAATAAATAATTTCTATCTTTATTGCCTGTCTGTTCAAGTATGCTTTCTACTTTACCACTAAGAACTTTTTTGTATATGAATTTTAAATTTCTGGCCTGCTAATTCCTTAGTTTGTGCCTTGAGACAAGTTTGCTCTCTTCAAACTGTTTTTATGTCTTTTTTATATATGTATGCCTTGTAGTTTTTTGTTGGAAGATAGATATGATGTACTGGTAAAAGGAACAGATGTAAATCAGCTTTTAGTAAGTATTGGTAAAGTGCTGGGGTGGGGAGATATTCTGCAGACCTATGACTAGGTTGTAGTCTTACAATGAAACCCCCTTTGTCTTTATACTATGAAGTTCATTGTTGCCTCTCAGTTTTGTAATTTTCTCATTTAATTTTCTTCTTCCCATATATCAAGGTCCTGATAAAATTTCAGAAGGGTAGGCTCTGGTTAAGTAGTATTTTCCTAAGGTTAGATCTTGTTAAGAACACATTGTTATGGGAATTTCAGAATGGTTTCTTTCCTCTTCCTAACAGAAGGTAAGTTTTTTGTAGTTTTGTCTGTGACAATTTAATCAAGCTCCTAAAAGTAAAACACAATATTGTAGAGGGGTCCCCGTGTTAGTGGAAACCATTAGAGATTTTAACCTTTAGACATATACACACTGAGTCTCTTAACAAATTTTTTTTTTTTTTTTTATCCTCATCCGAGAACATTTTTCCATTTTTTGTACAGACAGAGTGGGAGGGAGAGAGAGGAAGAGAGAGAGAGGGAAACATCGATGTGAAAGGGACACATCGAGTGGCTGCCACCTGCACGACCAACCAGGGCTGGGGACAAACTGCAACCGAGGTACATGCCCTTAGCGGGAACCGAACCCGGGTCTCTCCGGACCACAGGCAGACGCTCTAACCGCTGAGCCAAACCGGCCAGGGCTCTTAACAAATTTTTAACTAGTGTCCCTAAAGGTTTAAGGTCCCATTATGTGATTTTGGTTATTTACCTATCTCCAGTTTTAGAGACAGCAATTTGCTTTGTATCCTCGTTTCTCTTACCTATCTGAGGATTGTTGATTTTATGGCTTGTTCAGTTTTTGATCTCTTGTTAGGGTAGAGAGGCTACTTCTGAGATTTTTTTATGTACCCAACCAAGTTCCTTTCTAACCAAGGATTTAACTTGCACATACTTCTCGTAACCTGTGAGATTTTTTTACACTTCTAACTGTGTCCTTTAAATCACGTAAGTTTTTCATTTGTTTGTTTGTTTTGGTTTTGGTACGTGCCCCTAGCTGCTAGGGCCTAGTGGATACTGAACCCGGGACTCTCTGGTCCGCAGGCCAACGCTCTAGCTGCTGAGCCAAACCGTCCAGGACAAATCACATAAGTTTAATTGATTTTTTTTTTCAAGAGAGAAAAAGACACTGCAGTTTGTTGCTCTACTTGTTTATGTGTTCACTGGTTGATTCTTATGTGAAACTTGACCAGGGATTGAATCCGAAACCTTGGCATATGAGAGCAATGCTATAACTAACTGAGCTACCCGGCCACAGCCCAAAAGTTTTTAATTTTGATAAATTCTTACTGTTTTTTTTTTAGTTTGTGTGTCATAGCTAAATCATGCTCTTATCCATGGTTGTGCAAGTTGACTACTATCTTTATTGTATAAGGTTTATTGTTGTATGTATTACATTTAGGTCATTGATCATTCGGAGTAACTTCTTTATTTTTTAGTTTATTCTTAGTCCTCACCCAAATATATGATCAGAGAGAGGACAGGAGAGAAAGAGAAAGAAACATTTATCCCCTACTGGGTGGCTCACTTGGTTGGAGCATTGTCCCATATACCAGAAAGATTACAGGTGGTATCCTTTATAGGGGAGGCAGTCCATCAGTATCGATGTTTCTCTCTCTCTCTCTCATTCCATTCCTCTGTGTCTAAAGTCAAAAAATTTATCCTTGGGTGAGGATTCAAAATGCAAAACAAGAAACACATTGGTATGAGGTAGAAACATTGATCAGTTGCCTCCCGTACACACCCCAGCTGGGGATCGAACCTATATCCTAGTTTTGTGCCCTGGCCAAGAATCAGATACTCCTGTCACTGAGGGACCCAGCCAGGGTCATTTTGAGTTTTTGTTTTTTTATCCTCACCCGAGGACATTTTTCCATTTTTTGCACAGATAGAGTGGGAGGGAAAGAGAGGAAGAGAGAGAGAGAAACATCGACGTGAAAGAGGCACATCGAGTGGCTGCCACCCGCACAACCAACCAGGGCCGGGGACAAACTGCAACCGAGGTACATGCCCTTAGCGGGAACCGAACCCGGGTCTCTCCGGACCGCAGGCCGATGCTCTAACTGCTGAGCCAAACCGGCCAGGGCTTGAGTTATTTTTTATATGGTAAAAGATAGGGTTGTACAGCCATGCTGGATTCCCTCTATCTTCACTTTTTTAAGTAATGGATTTCCAGTTGCTTCTGCATTATTTCATGACTCATTGGCAGCTTTGTCAAGAGGTTTTAATTCACACAATTTTATTTAGCATTTAATATCCTTCTTAGTGCTATGTCAGTTTTTATTATTGATATAAAAGTTATTGTATTAAAAACTTAGACTCTGAAGAACTTTTTTAAATGCCCATAATTTTGTTGGTATGATCTTCTCGAGCAGGGTCAGGTGACTGAACAAAATCATACTTAGAAATAGGACACCTTAGTTTTTTGGTTTTTTTTTTTTTTTTTTTTTTTTTTTTACTGTATACTGTATATTTGTATGCCCCTTGCCAATTTAGAATGTGTGCTTTTGCTTTGTTATTGGGCATTTATAAGCACCTTTGCTGCTTAGTTCCCTAATCTTGCTTTAGTTATTTTTCATTCTATTTTTAAATATGTGGCAAAAATTTAAAAACTATACATTTTATTTTTAGAGAGTGTCAGTTGCGTAAACATACCCTTCTCTTTCTTTTTGAAATAGGGTATCATCTTTTTCTTAGGAGTATGTACTCAAGCAATTTCTGAGTCCTAAAAAATTATCAGATTTTTGGTATTATTTTTCCATTCTCTCTCAGATTCCTTTGATATCATTTAAAATGAAATTCATCTACCATTTAGAATATCTTTGGGCTACAATGGATACAAGTTTTTCTTATTTGCATAATTAGATTTTATAATGTTTTGTGGCTCATGGAAGAAGATGAGTATCGTGTCATTTGGCATGACTTTTCTTGATTCTTTACTTAACGTGGTCATTTAAGATATATTTTATGAAATGTGTTTATAGAAACTTAATTTTTAGAGTTTATCCAAGTAGGGCTCATATAAATAGGACTATTTTATTCACTTGTGTAATTAAAACAGTAGCTTGTAATAGGATACTATGCTTGAATGTTTGTTTAATCTATAGGAAGAAAATGAGAAAAGAATGCAACATAAAGAATATTCTGATAATGAATCTGCAGCTTCAGATTTGTAAGTACCTTTAACTGTTCAGTCAGGATTTCTGTGCAAAAGGCATGGATTTAATTTTTTTTTCTTTTTCTTTTTAAGTTCTGGAAAGAGAAGGAAAGGACCTTTTAAGACCATAAAGTTTGGGACCAACATTGACCTTTCTGATGACAAAAAGTAAGTCCTTCAGTTCTGTTTACATGAAATGAAAATGGATTGCAGGATTGGAAATGACCTGGTTGTTTATTGTTTTTCTTTTAATTCCTAGTCCTTTTTGTAAACGTTGATGTTAGCTAAAAAACAAAACAAAACAGCATTTTGAAATATTTTATTACTAGTTTTTGAATTACTTTTCTTGCTGAAAAATATTAATTTTATAAATTTAAAAATGAAAATGATCTCTTTTGTTTACATGATTATAATTTTTTGGTTTTTATACAGTTATCACTACATGTTTAAAGTTAAACATTCTAGTACTTTATATCTTAAAAGTACAATACTTTTATATTTAAATGTTTTCTGATCAGGTCACAAGGTTTTTGAGACACAGTTAATTCTAATAAATATTTGCATCAAGCTTAACTTTTGATATTTTATTTCAGGTGGAAATTGCAGCTACATGAGCTGACTAAACTACCTGCTTTTGTGCGGGTGGTATCAGCAGGAAATATTCTAAGCCACCTTGGTCACTCCATTCTGGGCATGAATACTGTTCAGCTATACATGAAGGTTCCAGGGAGTCGAACACCAGGTTATTTTATGGATTAGCATATCTTGTATAATTGAAAAGAAACTGTTAATCAAATGTGATAACATTTACACAATTAGTTTCTTCCTATTTATAATTATTTAATCCAAAGGATTTTAAAATTCTTTCTCATAGGTAAAAATATTTGAGCTGAGAGTATTAATTTGTCGTCTCCATGTGTCTTTTTATCATTTTTATATGTAAACACCAAGACAGAAGAATATAACTGGGAAGGGGACAATAAGTCACTTAGTTGGTGAACTATATTAAGACAGTGAAAAGGCTTTGTCTTGATCCCATTTACTGCAAGCTGACAGTTTTCCAAATTTTTTCACTGGTTACATTAGGAACTGTATTATATCATATAAACAATATATTTACTATACATAAAAAAAACTTATTGGCAATACTTAAAATATGTACTGATATATTCTGATCTCTTTCTACATTTTAAAAAATTGACTTCAGAAACTTTCTAATGCAGTGGTCAGCAAACTTTTATTTAAGAGGTTAGATGGTATTTTGGGCGTTATAAGCCAAGTGATTAAATTGAAGATGTTTTTTAGACACCAATATAGAAATGTTTAAAATAATTTTCATAGTTTCATTGATAAAAATTAAAATAATTGACACAGTTTATTTCTCCTTAATTTTTACCTTATTGGGCTCAAAATAGTGTTCTGTGTCATCAAAATAAAATTCAAATGTACATCTATTAAAGAGAGATAATACCTATTTTATTTTTAAAATGTGTTTGACACAAATACACAAATTTCCAAATACTGCTATCAATGTATGGGCACTTTTGTTTTTTTGGTTATTGTTAATTCTCACTTGAGCATATTTTTCCATTGATTTCTAGATATAGTGGAAGGAAGGGAGAAACATCAATTCCCCCTCACATTAATTGCCTTTCACACAACCCTGTCCAGGGCTGAGAATCGAACCTGCAACCCTGTGGTGTTTAGGCCAATGCTCTAACCACTGAGCCAAAGTGGCCAGGGCTATATGGGCATATTTTATTAAATATAGTAATTGGTTGAGAGGCATATAAAGATTGCAGTTAGTCCTGGCAGTTTGGCTCAGCTGTTAGAGCATTGGCCTGCAGTCCAGAGAGACCTGAGTTCTGGCGCGTACTTCGGTTGCGGTTTGTCCCTGGCCCTGGTTAGGTTGTGCGGGTGGCGGCCACTCGATGTGTCCTTTCACGTCGATGTTTCTCTCTCTCTCTCTCTTCCTCTTTATCCCTCCCACTGTATCTGAACAAGGGATGGAAAAATGTCCTCAGGTGAGAATAAAAATAAAAAAAAGATTGCAGTTAGTTTTTTTTTTTTTTACTTAACATTTTTCTCTCATATTTCATTGTATTGCACAGTAATTATTTCCAATTGAAGGTCAAAGTTGGAAGCTTCTTAGTTGCACAAGTGACTTTTGTAAAATGGAAATATTCTATGCACTTTGTACTGAGGTTGAAAAATAGTGTCAGAGTTGTAGTTTGAGCTTTAAAAATACATGCTACAAATGGTTGAAAGAATGGACATCTAGATTTTCTTTATCTTTTATCCTCAACCAAGGATATTTTTGCATTTATCTTCAGATAGAGCCGGGGGGGGGGGGTGGAGGAGGTGGAAGGGGAGAGAGAAACATCAACTTGAGAGGGACACATCGACTGGTTGCCACTCACATGACCCCAACTGGGGCCAGGTACTAACTGCAACCAAGCAGGAACCGAACAAGGGACTCTGGTCCAAGGGCCGACACTAACCACTGAGCAAAACCAGCCAGGGCTGTATAATATTTAATGACACACAGTGTATTAAGCAACTTATTAGTACTTGCAATGCACAAAATATTGTCTTTCATGTGACTTTACTGTGTAGTATGTTTGTTTTGCCATATGATGTTTATTTCTTTTAAGAATCATTGTGAAGATTGCAACACAATTTCCATGATCAGTGACAGTGGCTGATGGTTGTTCTCATCCAAAAGAAATTTCAGTCTCAACCCTGAGCGATATAAAAAGTACAGTACTACCCTGGCCTGTTTGGCTCAACAGTTGGTTAGAGCATCGGCCCACAGACCAGAGAGACCTGGGTTTGGTTCTCACTAAGGGCACGTACCTCGGTTGCAGTTTGTCCCCAGCCCCAGTTGGGGTCGTAGGGGAGGCAGCCAGTTGATGTATCTCTTCCACATTGATCTCTCTCTCTCTCTCTCTCTCTCTCTCTGTCTCTCTCTCTCCTTCCCACTATCTGAATAAATGCAAGAATGTCCTCAGGTGAGGATAAAGAAAGAAAAAAAAAATTACAGTAATTCACATTGCCAAGCCATAGGGTAAATGTAGGTGGTCAGCTTTCGTTTCTGACAAAAATTCATGAGTCTTTGAGAGTGACACAATAAAATATTTTGCATAAAGTATGTGCCAGTGAATAACATAACTAATCATAGACATTAAGCACTTTACATTTTCTTTTTTTTCAGGTAGAGTGGGGGGGGGGGACAGAGAGAGAGAGAGAAACATCGATGCGAAAGGGACACATCGAGTGGCTGCCACCCGCACAACCGATCAGGGCCGGGGACAAACTGCAACCGAGGTACGCGCCCTTAGCGGGAACCGAACCCGGGTCTCTCAGGACCTCAGGCCGACGCTCTAACCGCTGAGCCAAACCGGCCAGGGCAGCACTTTACATTTTCATAAATTTTGTTAATTTATCCAAGTAAGATTTTTTTCCTCACTTTACACATATTTTTTCTACACATTAATATATCTTGGCAAATGCCACTTCATTGGTACTTAATGTTTTTTCAGCTTCTTAGAACATATTCTCACTTATACTGATCCCATGGAGACCACTTACAGGGGTTAGTTCTTGAGTCACTTTACATTTGGCATTGGCTTCTCAAATAAACCAATTACATAGTATTAATAAAAATCTATTGACTTGTCAAGGGCCTGTTTTTGAATTGACTGTTGACGTTAGTTCCAACATCTTCATTTGATTAAGCTGTTCTTAACGAAAGGCTAACAGTCTGGAAGCAATTTGTTTTCTCATAGTGGAGGGGAGTATCCAGCCCTTGGGCCAAATAAGGCCTGCGAAATCAATACCAGCTACCATCACATGCCTCATCAAATTAGCCTTACCAAAAAAGATAGTAGGATAATTTTTAAATGGATAATTTTGTATGGCCAGAGGATTATGTTATAAATATCCAAATAATTATTGGCAGAATAAAGATTTCCCTCCCCTGGCCCAACCAAACAGATAGTAATCTGCTTTTCTTGCCTGGTGAGAGATTTCATTTGGTTTTGCCTTAAATTTAAGTTTTGTGAAGCTGTTTTGCTATGATGAAATACTACATTTTACATTTAAACTTTTTTTCTGTCATTGTTTTCCTTTGTGATAGACATACACACACACACACACACACACACACACACATAGTTAATCTTCCACCAAGGATATTCTTTCCATTAATTTTTAAAGAGAGTAGAAGGAAAGAGGGAGGGAGAGAGAGAGAGGAACATTTATATGAGAGAGACAAATCAATTAGTTTCCTCTGGCCCTCACCCTGACTCAGGCTGGGGATTGAACCCGAAACCCTTTGGTGCACAGGCAGATGCTCCAGTTACTGAACCACACTGGCCAGGGCTGAGGTAGACTTATTTCAGTGACCACTTAATCTGGTATTTTTGTTGTACATTGTTAGCTTTTAGCATAACAAGAATATCATTACATAAGTACAAAGCTTTCCTGTCAAATGAAGGAAAAACATTTACACTTCCACATACCTTAGAAGGGCTACATTTTCTTTCTTTTTTTTTTTTCTTTCTTCTTTCCGTCCGTCCCTCCCTCCCTCCCCCCCTCCTTCTTTCCTTCCTTCCTTCCTTTCTTTCTTTCAGTTCCTCAATGAGGACATGCTTATTGATACGAGAGAGAGAGAAACATCAATACGATAGAAACATTGATTGGTTACCTCCCTTTGGCACTCTGACCAGGAATCAAATTTGCAACTCAGGTATATGCCCTGACCAGGAATCGAAGCCACAACACTTGGCGTGTACAGGATGGGACAAGGTCCAACTAATTGAGCCACAGGGCCCAGGGCAAAAGGTTGCTGTATTTGAAATCTTTCTTGGTTTCATGTGATGGCTATACATGGTAATAAAAAATTTTTAAAAAGAAATTTTGATATATGGGTGACATGTGTATCAGTACAGTTTAATGCAGTTTAAAGTTTGCCTGGCAATATAGAGAGATGAAGAGTGCATAAGATCTCTGTCACACTGCTTAATTCTGATATGGTAGCATGAAAGCACCCATAGACAGATCATATACCAATAGCATATCTGTGTCTCACGAAAATCATATTGGTAAGAACTGGTGTTTGACCCATGAGCCATATTTGCCATACTCTGATTTAAAATCTTAAAAGTTTTATTCAACATAAAGTTTTGATTAAATGAAATAAAAACAAACATTCAATTATAACATTATATTTGATCCCCTTGCATTGATATGGATATGTCATAGAGGATAGTTCATATATTTAGTCATCTGTAAGTTCCAGCCTTTGGTCCATTAAGGTAGATAGTAGCAACAAACAAGCAGTTATTCATTATTGTCTACAGCTACATATCACCCTCTTGGTTTTGTGTTTGTTACTTGCAGCAGCTATTATTTGAAAATCCAGTTGCTGCTTCAGTATATTCTCACTGTATACTGGCCAACTGATTTTTAACAATTAGGTCTTTGCCAATTTGTAAATAAGTTAAGTTTCCAAACTTCTTACTAGAATTTCCTGAAAAGACTTTTGGAAAAATACTTAAAATCTCAGCATTTGGGGAACTAGGTATTAGTATTTTTGTTCGTTTAATTTATTGATTTTTGGAGAGTAAGAGAGAGAGAGAAAGACATCAGTTTTTTGTTCCACCCATTTGTGCATTCATTGCTTGATTCTTGTATGTGCCCTGACCAGGGGTGATGCTCTAACCAACAGAGCTAGCTCCT